TTCATATTGATGAGGAAATTACAAAATGTTCATCGATAATTGTCCTAATGGAAGTACTAGCAATAAGAGTTTTCTTTAAAAAATCGATTATCAATTTTAATTTTATTTGAAAGCATTTTTATTATACTTATATGGTTTAGATATGTTGGAATAGTCTTAAAAAAATCATAGGATATCATTTTATTCCTGATTATATGTATTAAACAGATTTTTAACTTTTTACATAGGATTACATTTATTTCAATTCTATTCAATACAATTGATTGAATTCACTCATCTAATTGAATTATTTGAATGATAAGTAGGAAAGTAAGGAAATCGTAAATTCTCATTATATGAACTTCAGTTATTTGAAATTGTTTATTCCTTTGTTTAAATAAGTGAAGTTTTATTGTATTCTATCGACTGAACGCGTAATTTTTCAAGATATTAAAATTTTAAAGAATAAAAACAAACCAATGTATAATTCTTCTTTCTTCGCCTTCATTAAAACTTCGTTGGCGACTTTTTCAACGTCGTTCAAAATTAGATTAGCACCTATCATCAACTGCAGATCGTGCTCCAATATTTTGTTTCGAAGGGATGTATAATTAGTAAGCGGAATAGCAATATTCACAGTTGTATGACTGAGCAATATCATAAATAAAAGAATAAATTTCTTCATGATTAGTGATTTTATTTAGTGAATACTCTATGTTCAATATAGTCGTACGAGAATAGCAAGAGATCCGAACGCTTTGACTGTTTATACTCTACTGACTAATCATTTCTACCAAGATGGTTCTAGCAGCACTAACAACTTTGAACAGATGCGTTGAACGCATAAAGCTGATGCTTGTTTAAGTATCAACGTTCATCAATCAAATGTCTTAGTTTTTTGTCTAAAAAAGAGGAAGACCTCAAGCTGAGTATAACTGATATAGTTTTTATCTCAATTAAGAATCAATGCATATTATCAAAAATTTTGAACGAGATTTCTCTTAGATTTTATATGTATTATTGTATTATGTATTGTATTATTATAACATGAAAATATTTTTTTTTTTTAAAATTCTATTTAATTATCAAAAAAATATGGTTATATTCTATAAGAATATAAAAATTAATTAGTTCAACATCATATTGAGAAATGAAATTATTTAGAATTTTGTTTTTATATTGTAAATTAATGAAATAAAAAATATATTTGCTATTCTTTTATTATTTATTAATTATAATATTCCATTAGAATATTGCAAAAATGTAATTACACAAAAATATCAAATCATTATTAATGCTTTATAAAATAAATATTAAGACTGAAAAAAATTTGTCAAATAATATTAATATAATTGTTTTGTGATTTTTAAAAAAAATATTGTATAGCATTCCATATGTTTTTTATACCTTATATAAAAATATAAAATAAATAATATTTTAACTGATACGCATATGTTTCATTCGCATACGCTTCACGGTAAACTTTCCGTTCAAGCTATTTGAAATTTTCATAAAATAAAAATCTTTAAAAAAATTTATTATAAAATCATATATCTTTTTTTTTTTTTGCATCTTAAACTGCACATCTTTTTTTTTTTTTTTTTT